AGTCAGTTACGCTAACAGTTAGTGTAACTTTTAATCCGTTACACTAACAGTTAGTGTAACTTTTTCACCAGTTACGCTTACAGTTAGTGTAACTGAGGGTATCACTACACTAACTGTTAGTGTAACTTTGCAAAAAGTTACACTAACATGTAGTGTAGTGGGTTCACCCACTAACACCGCTAAAATTTCACTAACAGGATTTTGGGTAGTGTTAGTTGTGCCTTTTTGAAGGTAGCTAACACTACGCTAAAGTTGTTTTTTTGTTTTTCAAAAATCCTGTAGTGTTAGTGGGCCAAAAATTCCCGCTAACAGTAACTTTTGTGTAGCGTAGCTTAAAAAGCTAACACTACGGTTAGTGTAACTGGCCCACCATTGCTCCTGGGCACAAGTTGGTAGTGGTAGGTGCAAAGTGATTAAAGAAACACTAAAGACAAAGATTCTTACTGATCCTCTTACTCAGGGTCATCTATCCTGCCATCAACAACGTAAAATTTTATAGATTTTGGGGAACTCTTTGTAGATTTAATTTCTCTACAGAGAATAAAAAAATTGCAAAGTTTTACCATTTGGCTTGCTCAAAATGTATAACCACTTAGAATCACATGCAATTTCTGGCAACAATTTCTGTTTAGTTAGTCTATGAAGACCTTAAGTTTTCAGGTTGTTTCTTTGTGTCTGGGTGATTGTAAAGGACCATCAATTTATCAAAATAAGGAGTGAGAAACATGCAATTAATGATTTGCAATATGTATATCAAGATTCAAAATGTTCTTGTTCTCATTTCTCAAAACTTCATCCTATCTTGGGTACTATTTATAACCCTATCAGTTCATCTGTCTTTTCAATTTGTAGTTCTAGCTCTTTGATTGAATTATAAGCTTCACCTGATGATTTCAAAATTTGATGAGACAGTGACCATCCAAATCATATAATATACAAATCAGATGTCTTCATTGGTAGCCATCCAATCAATTCAGGATATGAAGAACAAGCTAATCTAATCCCATTTATGTATTCAGTAAGTAATTCTTTCTGTTTGCCCAGTAACACAGTATGCTTCATATATATCATGTCCATATATATGATTAAAGGCTGAAATGCTTCCATAGATGTGAAGATGAATTTATTCAATATTCTTAACCTAATTCTTCACTTGAATCTCATAACTTTTCACACCTGCTACCCAATCAGCTTAGAGCAATGATCTGATTCATGAAATTGTACTGTTTTTACTACCTCTCATTAGGAGGTTTTATGAAAAAAAAAATCAGAGCTCTAGTCACAAACTGTGTTTCCCTTCTACTTAGAATAATAAGAGATTGAAATTGTAGCATTTTCAGTAGGCAAAAAGAATTAGAATTGTCAACTACTTGAACTTCTTATTTCCTACTGCAACTGAAGAGAAGACAGAATTTAGCAGGTATGACCATGCGTGATCTAGTTATTACTTTGATCAAAGGTTGAAGAATTATTGTTTTTAGACTATATCTAGTCTGTGTTGAATTATTCGATACACTTCTCATTATGAATACGCAGCAGGAATTTCAATTCTCACTCGCATCTGAACATCATCGAAACAAACCTAACCAATTCCTCCCCCGCACCCCATTAAAACAATTTCGATCATCCCAATACCAGTCTTTTCCCCACACGCTTATTCAGATAAAAAGTGGAGAAGAGACTGGTAAGCAAAATTCTCTAACATCATTCAACAACCCGATCGACACAACAATGAACTGAAATCTTTTTCCTTATTCTATTTTCTTCCCTCTGTTTCTCTTCTATTTTTCTCTAGATCTAAAATCTCACGCGTGTCCTCCATCATCCATCATTCAAAAACAAAAACAAAATACAAAACTGCATTGTCGCAGGTATGATTAAACTTTCTTGTCATTTCAATTACTTCCACATGTTTTTCTGATACTGTTTCCTTATTTTTCATTCTATTTTTCTCTAATCAGGTGTGTCGAAGTAGTCAGAGTCAGAGTCGTCGGAGTCATTGTTTCTTACATCAATCTTCTATCATAAAGGTTCGCTAAACAAAAATGTTTTCCTATTTCTATTATTCTTTTCTCAATAATAAATACACACGCTTATTCAGATAAAAAGTGGAGAAGAGACTGATCTAAAATCTCACGCGTGTCCTCCATCATCCATCATTCAAAAACAAAAACAAAATACAAAACTGCATCGTCGCAGGTGTGTCGAAGTAGTCAGAGTCAGAGTCGTCGGAGTCATTGTTTCTTACATCAATCTTCTATCATAAAGGTGTGTCGAAGTAGTCAGAGTCAGAGTCGTCGGAGTCATTGTTTCTTACATCAATCTTCTATCATAAAGGTCGTACTTCGGATTCTATTAAAAATCACACTCTGGTATAAAGTCATGAAACAACTTTAAGGAGCTGAGTTGATCTTAATTACCAGCTAGTGCTAAAAACATGTATTGGAGATGCCTTTAATATTCCTTCTTTTACTTCTTAAAATCATAAGGAATCAAATTACAAGGATTTTGATGATACTAATAGACTTTGCAACCTTCATGCAATCCTGATGAGCCATTGATCATTGAAATTGAATAGGAAACAAAAACAATAGGCAATTGATCATGCAAGGTAGTTTGCTTTAAAGCTCAGCTGAAAATATAACTATGCTATTTTGAATTGGAATTGAGGGTGAAGATCCTAATATTTATCTTCAACAGTTTTCTGAATCAAGTTTCTTCTTGGGAGTCATAAACAGAATAGGTTGATTGAATCAATCAATTCTTTGCTTTTGTGCAAATTGCTGAGGTATTAATCCCAAAATTTGCTCAAGGGATGAGTATGATGTAGCAATTGCTTACTCTAAACAGTCTGGCACAATTCATCACCAAAAGAAAAGAAAAAAAAAACAAGGTGATCTGTGATCTGTAACCTATTGGAGTTGGGTTTTCATATTCTTCAACCCCAAAGGACATAAGCTACAAGAATTTGGATTGGATCGATCAATCCTTTAGCTTCTTGTGATTCTAATAAGCTAACAATCATGTAAATCGGTTCAGTAACAAGAAAGAAGCGATAAGATTTAACTTGTTGTAGTTTTGTTTATTAAACACAAGGTAATTGGTATGGAGGATTTCTGATTGCACTGATCGATCAGTCTCTGTCATGTGAATCCAATTGGCTAACAATCAAGGAAGTTGAATAAGAACCGAGGAAATTATCTATGTATCTATGATTTTGTCAATCTGGCTTGCTCCAGGGGTTTTTGGAGCTGATGCCCTACTTTCTGTTCCAGTGGCTGAGTTATTCTACCGAGCTCTCTCCAAAGGCAAGGATTTCCTGCATCTTCTCTTATAAATATACTATGTTGTTGAAGAGACTACTCTATGAGAACTGAGTGAGCATAGGAAGATGTCAAGGTTGCCTTGATACATAAGGGATAACCTCTGAATATGATTGCTATTGGATCTAAGAGTTCAACTTACAAGCGTAGCATTTTCAAAGAGAGCGGTTTCTGATCACATCCTGGCTGGCTATTGCTTGGCTGAGGGCAAACCTCTTCAGGACAAGGTTCCTGTTCTCCAGCGCTTGAACAAACATGAGCTATTGGTTGTTGAAGACATTGATTGTTGTTTCCAACGTGGGGTTGTCCACTATTATGTTGTCTGGACTCATGGGATGTCGCTGATTGACTCAGAGCTGTGTGAGGGTTCTGATTGAAAGGAAGCGGGATTGGAGAGAGAATTGGACGGCTTTTCGGGTACTTAATATGGACTGCAAAGTTTGACCTTTCTATTGGGTGCAGCACCGGGTTCGAATCTGCTGGACATCGTCTCTAAAGCAATCCAGAGAAGTTGCTCTTGCAGTTGATTAAAGCAGCGGGGCTACTGGCTCTGACTGTGTAGCTCCTACCACCAGTACTCTCGTATTGTTCTCACTGAGTGACAGCAGATTTGCACCTAAGCATTTGAAACCGCTCGGTTGCAGCCGGGCTGAACTGGTATTGCGAGTCATCTCCTCGCTTTAGTCCAACAAGTCTAACTCCTGCTCCGGAGTCAGGCGGCGGTTGGATCTCTTGCTGATACTGCTCCTCTTGCTCGGTCTCGTGTTGAGGTTGTTTTCTAAAAGAATGTGCTCTGCGTTTGATTTCACTTCGTAGTTGTTTGAGAGAGATGTTATGTCCATTTCTTCAATGGGCGCTCATCGCGATCACAAAAAAAGGATAAAAAAAGTGTTTTAATTAGATATTCAGTTCTGATGTAGGTAGTGTGGAATTGTTTGATCAATTCAAGGATTCAATAATAAAAGGAAGAAAAGGAGGAGAAAAGGTACTTGTATTTTTTTTTTTTTTTTGAGGCCGTCCTTTTACCCCCCTTTTTTTGGGTTTTGGAGAAACTAGCACCAGAGACCACTCAGTCAACAAGATAAGATTTTCTTTGCAAGGACGAGCAAGAGTTTGCTTTTCTAGAAGGTAAAGATCTGCTTCTACTTCCGAAGGAATCGACTACAGGTCCAAAGAATGAAGAGGAGAGTCGGGTGGTGTATTGGGTATCACACTTCTACTGTTCTTTACTTTGCGGATAGAGGGAGGTAGGTTTGATTGATCGAAGAACAAAAAATGAAAAGATGTTTGTTTGATTGACAATGTTTCTTGTTTTTTCTTTTTGAGTCTTTAAATCAAGAGAAAAAGAATTTTGGCAAGCGCTCCGCAATGAGATTTGGTAATTTGGAGACTGCTTCTTGATGGAAATAAGGAATTTAGTTTGATTTGCACTACTTCAAATTTTGAAGATAGATCTTGTGGTCACTATAATAAAAAAGAGAAAAATTGACGAGCGCTCCGCGATGGAAAGTGAAAAAAAGGAGGATACGTTTGCTGAGAGTTTTTCTTTTTCTTTTGTTCTAACGATATCGGAGGTGGCTGTAGGGGTCAACTCGGTCAATGAAATGAAACTTCCGTCTTGAGGAGGAGCTAAAGTCTGCCTTTCTAACAGATCTAGGTCAGCGGCCAGTACATTAGAGGGTACTGAGGACAGAGACAACATAGGAGACAAGGTAGGTGGGGTATCGGGTATGAGTCTTTGGCTTGTCTTCACTTAGCAAGATTGCAATAGAACGATGAAAGAAATCAAAGTTCATAGGGAAGTAGATCGAATTCTTGATAGTATTCTAAAATACTAGTTGTACGGTATGTTTGATATAAGAAAAACAGAGTTGGAGAAGCGCTACACAATAAAATTTTTCAAGCGCTCTGAGATGGGATTTTGAAGATAAAAAAAAAGAATTGTTTGTTATTTTTATTTTTTAAGGATTAGAGATTCAGATTCTGAAGTAGTTAGAATGATGTTTTTTTTTGTTTTATTTTTATTTTATTAATGGCCTGATGAATTAAGTTTGAAATTATGATTATGAGAGGTCTTTGGAATAGACATTTCCCCATGAGGCCCCCAATTGTGAGCCTGGGTCTATATAGTGACAGCAGGACACAAGATATGGGGGGCACTTTTATATGTATTTCTTAAGAGAAGAGGAATACAAATAAAGGAAGAGAAAAGGAGAAGAAGATTGAAAGAAATAATGATATTTTTGTTCTTTATTTATTTTAAGATGATGATTAAAGTTCTGGCAGTCTTACTGTCCCTTTTTGGATGGCTGCTGACAGTCTTACTTTCCTTGTAGGATGGCTGTTATAAGCGGAGCTAACTCTGACGCCTCCAAATCAACAGAAACTGAAATGGGTTATTGACACTGATGAATCAGGTCAACCACATTTTTTTAGATCAAAGATCAAGGCTCTTTAAAGGGAAACCTATGTAGTTTTCAGTTGTACTACCAAACAGGAAGAGTTGAGATGGCTTGATCTGGTTCTGGTTGTTGAGGTTCTGAGTTGGTCTGGAGTCTGAAATCCTGAAAATGAGAACTCAGTATCCTCTGAGAGAATTTTCAGAGTTGGATTACATAATCAAAGCATGTACATGTGGTAGAGAGTTGGAATTCCAACTTGGTTGATATTTCACAAGGTACAGTGAAATATTACAAAGTCTATGAAGGAAAAGAGTAGTGTAAAAGTGTGTAGTGGTGACTAAGGTTGAAATCACATGAGGAATTCATTTCTGAATTCAGAATGTAATAAAATCATGAGATAAAAAAGTTGCAGTAGGGGGTATCAAATATAACCAAATCCACCACTTTTTAATTGACTGGTTTTAAAAAATCCACCATTTTTTAAACATGTCAGTTCTTCATTTGACCCCTTTGGGGGCCCATTGATGCAAAATTTTATTTTTGGAAAATTGACTGGTTTCTAATGGTGGATTTCTTATATTTGATACCCCCTAGTAGGAACATAGCTGAAAAGGAGGACTTAAGCAGTCTTTTGGCTAACTTGGTTGGCTCTAAGGCTGACACTGCAGGAGGGGGGATTGGAGTGGCTTTGGTGGCCTTTGTCTTCTTTCTTGCTGGCTCCTTTTGTGGTTTCTTTGACAATGATTGTAAATGTATGACAAAATTATCATCCTAATCAAGGACTCTGGCTCCCTGCGAGGCTCCCCCACTCTGGAGACTCTGACAGAGACCCTGCAGGGCTCCCCCGCTTTGCAGGGCCCGTAGGGGGGCTCTCGAGAGGCCTTGTTAAGCTCGTTCCAATTGCAAGTCTACCTTTACGTGTCCTTAATCCCAACTGCATGCTGAATCACTTGCTCTGCTTCCTCAGGTATGTGCGGGATAAGGTGGGTGTGATTGTGAAATGTAATGCTAATGAACAGATTTCTTTTTTTCATCTTTACTCAGCATTCGTTTTTTTAGATCCATAACAGACATGAGCAGCTTTTCCAACCTCGACATGCACAGCTTGATAGCACCTAAATCGGATGAGGCATTCACAAGACTTCTTGACGATTCCTCACTTCTCATCCCGTTTCTCAACGACATTCTAAAAACAAAAGTTGTCATTGATCAAATTGAAACATATACGCAAGTCGTGCGTTCCGCTCCAGGAAGTCCTACCCCTTCTCAAGCAACTGGACTAGATGGAACCTCTGAGCAACGCGTTCGAGCTTTGACAATACGTGACATGAGGTACAACAAATCACATTGGACCATATGCTACAACATTGTTGCGGTCACTGACAATAACACCGTCATTGCCGTAGAAACGCAGCGGGCTCTCCAGCCCTACTACCTTGACCGAGTTGTGTACTACAGTGATTGACTGATTTCTGACTATCTCGGGTAGAAAAGGTGGAAGTCCCCACCTGACAATTTCTGGGAGCTCACTCCAGGAACCAGCTTGCCTCAAGATCAGCATAGCAAAAAGCGGGATTACAGATGCAGCGAAGTCTACGTTATCTCAATATGTGACTTTCCGTGGACCAACCAGCCAAGAATACCCAAGTTGCTGAACAAAAAGTGGCTGATGTGGCAGAAACCACATTGGGAATTGGATTCGTCCTTACCGCAAGACCCACAAGCCGCATCCAATGACTCATCTGTTCGAGGAGAGAAGCCAGTTGCACAATTTTGTTTCATATCACTGCCCAACTTTCATATCTGGATGGGCAACGAGGTCAAAATGCCGTTGGAAAAAGTGCTTTGGATTTTTGCCAACTGCGGTTCTAAGCAAGCAAAGCGATCACTGCCAGAATGGGCCAAGAAAGACCCAATTGCCCGCTCGTTTGTTGACAAGCTTTGGTACGATTGTCTCAGCCTTGCCGAGAAACTTGCCTATGATAAGGCGGTAGACATCGAATACCGGCTGAAGCGTGACAAAGCTATTGAGGAGGAGCGGGTAGCTGATCAGATTTGGATGGCCAAAACGGAACGAGACCTTCTACTCAAAGAGACACGACAAATCAGGGAAGAGTTGAAAATCTGGGGTGCTGATCATCCACAGCAGCCTGAGGAGTGAACTGAATAATAATCTTAGACGTTTATTTACTACTTTCCAATTCATGACTCCAACATTGCTGAAGAGAACCACCCCCCTTCTGGTTACCCTCCCAGAATCTGCATGGAGCTCAATTTCACTTCCATTCAATCATTCATCTTGGACCAATCATGAGTGCCACCCATTTCCTACTTGCACCCGATACCCATTGTCCTCACTTGACTAGTGACCAGGCAGTTCCAGGTAATTGAAACAAATTTACTTGGGTTAAGTCAACATTGATACGTCATCAAGTGAATGAAAAGCCCTGAAGGAGGCATAATATTGTCATGTAACTGACCATTGCCCTTCCTACTATTAGATCCCTGCTCTGATTGTCTTGACCGCTTCCTGTTACAGTCTACCCAAATTTTTACTGTTGTGATAAAAGGGAAAGGATTGAAGATACTTAGTTAACAATCAAGGCTGCACTGGCTGCTGGTGCAACCTCAATATTGTGACTGGTTTCCATCACCAAATAAAAACTCTGAGCATCCTGATCACTCAAGCCAGGTACACCCGGTATGTACTCGATACTCT